CAGCTCTACAAATATGGTGTCAGTGGTTTCAATTAAACTATGTTGACACTGGAAGCAAAAATAGAAACATTATTAGAATGCCTTCATTCCAAGTTTCATGGCCTGCAATAATTAATTTATAACAAATCACTTTTTTATTACAAAGTATTACATAGGATTTTCAAATAGCAGACTTCATTTTACACATTATAAGGATTAGCAATGAAGTGTTTGTGGTTGCCATTTCTTTCTTTTTTTTCTTCTTCTTCCTTTTTTATCCTTCTCTCTCGCTCTCAAAATTCCTAAATCTGTTTATGATTGACTGCTAGGACCTTTGGAGAACTAGTATCTATCCTATCAGAATTAATCAACTGCAAGAATTTTGTACATTTTTTCCCTTAATATGTAATTTTATTATATCTTCCAAAAAGTTCTATCAAACAATGATTGTGTTAGCAGGAATGATTACCTCAATTACAATGACTCTTGAAAATGCACTCATTTTGAAGAGAAAATTCACAGCTAATAATTAACAGGCTAGACAAAATCTCATCACCTTTTCCAGAAACTTATTATGCTTTTCAATATTAAAAAGGCAAATAATTTGAACATTTAATTCATATTTCACATCCATAATTTTCCCTGAAATCCACAGAGAACCGAATGTACAAACATACACTCACACACACTGCACATTAGGCTCAAAAAATGTTTTTAAGAGAAAATATGACCTCATTTTTAATGTTAACATTCAATTGGTATAAGTGTGGGAAGGAACATACAGATTATAGAAGCATTCACTAGCAAAAACTTGTATAAACTTATAAACATATTTGATTGCAATAAAAACTAAGTACAGACTGGGAAAGATTACAAAAACTAAACAGAGTTTGCATGAGCGTTTGTGTGTGAACGCACACGAGAGCGTTTGTGTGTGAATGCGCGCGAAAGTGAGAGTGCGTGTGTCAGCGTTTATGATTAAGCAAGAACATGTGCGAACGAGCTGGGCATGCGTTTGAGCATGTGTGTTGACCGCGGGGTCATCTGCAGGTAACAAACCACTTCTACGAAATCAACGAAAATTTCAAGAATCCCCCTTTTTGATTTCTATAATTTTCGAAGAATCCTACTCCTCTAATTTCAGAATTTTTTATTTTTATGATAAACACATCTTTTTTTATTTATATTTAGTTTCAGGTAAATACTTTTGTTGTAATTTTGAAAAACTTTGGATACACAATTTACATTGTCGAATAAGAAATATGTGACAAATAGTCTTTAATAAAAATTATATTTCTTGATTTGCAACAAATGAACTTACGATCTATGTATAAGGCAGAAATATTGTGATCACCAGTGATTGCCAGTATTCCAAAGATTTCCCTCTTTTTATATCCAAATATTCAATTTTCTAAAATTAAAACTATGGATCTCTAATAAGAATATGAAAACAAAAAAACAGTAAATAAATGTAGATTGCAACCAAGAAATACAATGGAGACTTCAGAGGTGATTCTGAGAAGAAAAATAGGCAAGTTGTAATTTCCAAAAATAAACTCTCCAAGGATTGAAAGTGTCAACAAATCACTTCCTTTATTGCACATTTCAGTTAATTTTCAAATCACAAATTCAGACTTTATTAATACGCTTCACTTAAAGAAATATATTTTATATTTTGTTATGAAGTTTGAACTTCCTAAAACAATTATTTCTCTAGAAATGAAATATATGAACGACTACATTTTTTCTAGATATATCGAGTAATAATCCAAAACTGTCTTGAAATATTTCTACCAAACAGTTTTGAAGACTATGAAATAAACACAATGAAGAAATTAACATAAAATAAATTCAATTCTCAAAATTTGGGAACCGTTAAATTCTGGTAGTTTTTGTTCATAAACGTGGAGTGCAATGTAGGAATATTAATATATCAGCAAGTTTCATTTTAAAAATTTTGAATTTTGGATAGACAAATTTGAATGTTACAAGACTTAAAGCAGCAAGTACTAAGAGTTTTCAGAAAACTTAACACAATTGTGAATCAGGTAAATACACAGCCTTTGGAAAAGATTTTTGTACTTTCAAATATCTTCATAAACGGTGTGTACAATACAATTCATTTATCCATGACTTGGCTATTTAAATGTCTCTATTACTCAAGCCTGTAATACATTTTCTTCCACAACTTTCTTTTGTGTACTAACTTTTCTAATTCAGAAATTCCTCCATTTTACTAAGGAGGTTTTTAATACTCAATTCTGAACAATTATTGCTATGGGGAAGAATAACAAATTACCCATAAAGGAAGCTTTCATGAAATGTATACTTAAGGAGCAATATGATGATATTTAATGGTCAATTGCTGTTAATATGTTTAGAGAAATGCTGAAAGATATTTTATAAAAACAAAATAAAAATGTGTACTAAAATAATTTGGGACATATCTGAAGCCTAATGCAATAGCATACCTTCAACATATATGATATCCTATCCTGTATACATTATAAAATCCAGTAAATTAATACTTTTGTTACTAAATTGGTGAAGCATTGTATTTTCCCTATAAGAGTACTCAACTAAAAATATTTTCTTATTTCTTGTGCTTTATTCTTCACTCACGATATTCCATATTAAGCATATTGATGGTTATGAAAATTCAACACAGATACCATCTTCGTCCCTATTAACAGAACATTCTGATACTCTTTGACTACATGAACTTGGATAATCAAGACTTCACTAATTCCTCAATTAATGGAAGTTTTGGACAACCATATGCAAAATAATCAATTATAATTTTTTCCAACAGTTTTTGCTACACCACAAGAAGATACAAGAGGTTAAGAACAGATGCATTTCCCATAAACTTTCTGTTCTCAATTACAACTTCAAACATTAAGCAGATAGGCACCTGTTACTGGAAAAATTCACATCACAAAACTAAAAATAAAGTCGTATTACTTCTAATATTAAAACTCTTTGAAATCCCATGCCACCAATACACAGAATTTTAATTGTAAGTTCAAAAGTAAATTTCAATTGAAGGATGTTCTCAAATTAGTTATACCTTCAGATCCCTTTTTCTGTAGCTTTTATCCTATCTCGTTTAATGCTAATCTAATCTCGTTTTATCCTATCTCGTTTAATTCTCATTTTTATTCTTCCCTAAAACCTGGGAACAGTTGTAAAACATAACCTAAACATAACAAGACCTAAAAGCTTGTATCAAATTACTAGTTTGTAAACTAAAATTCTAGAATAATATCTGTCCCTGTTACGAAATATTAAATCACACATTTTAACAGAAAAAACTTAACATTAAAATGGGCCCACTTGCATGGGGAAAAGGTTTCAGCTAGTACCAGCAACGACATAAATTCTGATCTTCATTATCTTTAAATTTGAACTAAATTTAACCAACATTCTCACAAAGATATTCAAGTTCCTGAAGTATTCCATCCTCAATCTCAATAATCATAAACTTAGTAATAAAAAAAATTGAACTATAAAACAAACATATGAATTAAAATTATTTTCTATAAATTTAAAATTGGCAAAATAAATCTCTATAAAATTCTTGTAAACTCTTAAAAATAACACATTCCTATCAAACTAATTTGTATTGCTTTGCTCAGTCATTGTAGTTTTAATGGTTAGTTGAAAAAGCCACAATAATATTGTAACTCCTGTCTGTAAACAATGTAACTTAAATATTTCATTCCCATCAACAATATAGCTACAGTTCAAAGGAGTTTGCATGAGTCATTGTTTAAACTCAAAACTAAATAATTACACACCGCTTAACATTCTCAATATTGAATTTTCAGAACATTAACAGAAAGTTAAAAATCTGAAGTTAAAATAACTATTGAAGCAATATAGTAAGAATATTCAGTCAATAATCTAATAAACTTTTTACCCAATATTAGTACATGAATAGTCCCATGAATACCGACCATAGGGAATTTAGTTTGTGAAACAAAATACAGTAATGGGTAATTTGAGGAGGAGAAGGATACTCATTCATGCAATTGCATTAAAATGCAAGATTGTCCTAATACAGAATTTTAAAACTTTTTTGTTACTACAATTATTATTACTATTATTATTATTACTATTATTACTATTATTATTATTATTATTATTATTATTATTACAACAACAACATTATTGTATCTGCAAAAGTCATAGGTTGAGAGTTGAGAGCTTTGTTAAGAAGTGGATAAATTTAGGACCAAATAACTTAAACAATCAATTTATTACAATTAACTAACACTACCAAAAGTAACGTGCTAGATCCAAAATGCTTTCTCAACAGTAAAAAGTCCCAATCATAATTATCCAAGTGTGTGCATTTCCCATTAATTTCTACAGTCTATAAAAAGATAATAATTAAAATATCCTGTACATCTTAGTCTATATAATGTTTTATATTTTGGATGGTATTGTTAAAAAAACTTCAGTGACATTTATGTTCAATTTAATAAATAACAAGTGGCATAAATATAAACTTGAGGCAACGTCTACATCATATACAAAGGTTGGCCCGGTTCAAGGTTAAAGAAATGAGAAAAGTCAAAGCTCTCAAGATTATACCGACTTTTTTTCATCTCGCCCTTTTTGTGATTTTTGCACACATGAATCAAAACTAAATTGTCACCATCTGATCTAATTCAATATAAAAAAACAATAGGAATATAAATTTTTATGCACAATATTTTCACTCTCGATAAGTTCCATATATATTCATAATTGTTGCAATGAACGATTCATCAATATGCACAAGAAACATGTTTAACTCATTGGGAGACATCGTACTGTTTACTGCCTCTACACAAGATTAACATGAAGTGTAAATACCTGCAATAAATTCAGACATCCACCACAATAATAAAATATACGAGATGATTTATCACATACACTCCAATAGAATTAAGGTAACTAATTTAACCAATCACTAACAACAATATTTTGAAAGGAAAGGTTTTGTTTTAGTGATGAACTTAATAGGTACTTACCATCCATTCCATTTACTTCTTCGTATGCTCTGCGTTTGAGCAATGAAGGAGAAACATTATTTACTGTCCCTTTTTCAGCTTCAGGTTTATTGGGTACTCTCTCATACAATAATGTCCCATCTAAAAATATCAATGGCAAATTTATCAGAAATCCAATTAGCTAACACAGTTTAAAATACTCAACAAATTATGTTGACAACTAAATAAAACAACTTATTTTCTATTCACAAGGTGATACCAAGAATAAGCCCATTTTTGTGATAGAAATTAATGCTATACATCTCTTGTCCTTCTTTCTTTTAAAGTTGTCTCAATTTAAAACTTAATATTGACAGGCATAAATGAACAGAAAAGGAAGATGGAAAAGCAAAATAAAATTGAATAATTGTAGAATACTTTCTACAAAGGAATTTGTTTTGCTGCTCAAGTGCTTTCCCATCACTATTTTACAAACATTGAACAGATTATGCTTTGACATACTTAAGTTCTCAAAACAAAATTCATAAAGTTTTGATTTCATTAATACATTGCCTTCTGTATCACAAAAACTTCCCAAACTTGATAAACAAAGAAATATACTTTGAATTATTTTAGTAAAATGTCTCAAACTAGACACAGAAGGCAATTCAATATAAAATGACAGGAATTAAAAAATTGAAAAGAAAAATAAATCTGGTGCTTATACTTTCTTCTCCATTTCTTAAAGATATGAAGAACATCTTTGCATTAACATTAACACTTGTTCAAAAGAAAGAATGAATAGGAAAAATTAAAAATAAAGAAACAAATAAGCAAGCAAGCAAAAAGGACAACTTACCTGGAGCTTTGGGAGGTTTTGGAAATGAAACATGATCTGGTTTGGGTAGCAAATCCTTGGCAGTTAAAACCAACCAATCCGGTGTTACCAAATTTGGCTGTCCCAATCTATTTGCAATTCGTGTTACACTGCCACGATCTTTTTTACGATACCTCAATAATTCTTTAAGATCCGTTACTGATTTTCCAGTCATGTGTAACTGACCTGAAATGATGAATTTTTTTTTTTTACAAAATTTATATTTATCTCAGAATTTATAT